AGCAGCAAGTCACTCCCGCCCTGAGCGCTGAGCAGGACGTCTCCTGCCCTGATTGCTCATTCGGATGCTGGGCGTTCCATGAGGGTTAGGGAATGAAAGGTAGGTGATAAAAGAATTCTTATAGATATTTTATAATTAAACAGCACTATTTTCCTCCAGTTGTACATACTTAGGGGTACATAGTGATGCTTTGACACATATAATGTACAGTGATCAGATCAGGGTAATTAGCATTTCCATCATCTCATTTATTGTGTGCTGGAAAATTCAATACCCTTCTTCTAGCTACTTGAAACTATGTTCTTGTGTGTGTGTGTGTGTTTTATTTTAGGGTATTATGGGGGTACAGGTGTTAAGGTTACATATACTGCCCACGCCCCCCCCCCCTCGAGTAAGAGCTTCCCTGGCAGCTTTGCCCAGAAGCAGAGAACAGAGCTTTGACCCCTGCTAACACCATTTGTGGGGCTGGAGGGCAGGCTCACCCAACCCAGCCCCGCCCCGCCCAGACTCACTCCCACACCTGCCCTCACTGAAGTGGAGAATAAGGACACACCTGGAAGTCCCAGGGCCCCACCCACCACCTGAGGCACCAGATTGCCTCTCCAGAGTGACAAGAGCTGGTTACAGGACCCAAAAACAACACTGTAGCCTGCTCCTCGCAGCAAGCACCACCTACTGACAGGAGGTCATCCTGCACACCCTTTTACTGCATCGACTGACTCATCATACAGGGTGAGGTCAAATCTCACCCACGATCACCACCTGCTGGCTCAGAGACTAAACGGTGTGTCATTAGCCAAATGAAAATTCAAAGGTAAGAAGCAACAGCTGACCCAGATGTGAAGGAATCAGCGAAAGTATGAAGTATGAGGAATCAAATGGAAAGCACACCCCCAAAGGAGAACACCAGCTCTCTAGCAATGGACATCAACCAAATTCAGAACACTAAAATGACAAAAGAAGAATTTTGAACATGGACTGTAAGAAAACTCAATGATATCAAGAGAAAATGGATAACCAACACAAACCACAAGAAAAATCCAGGACTTGGAAGAAAATTTCACTAAAGAAATTGAAGTATTAAATAAAAAATCAAACAAAACTTCTGGAAATGAAAAATTTATTCAAGGAATTACAAAACACTATGAAAAGCCTCAAGAACAGGGTAGATCAAAAAGAAGAAAGAATTTCAGGGATTGAAGATAACATTTTTCAGTTAAATAAGTTAGTCACAGAGATAGAGCAGAGAAATAAGAGAAAAGAGCAAAGGCTACCAAGAAATGTGGGTTTATGTGAGGAGGACTAGCATGAGAATCACAGGCATCCCTTTGGGTGCAAAAAGAAAATACACAAGAGTTGGATAAGCTATTTGAGATTATAATGGAGGAAAATTTCCCAGGCCTTGCTAGAAATCTACATATCCAGGTACAAGAAGCTCAAAGGACTCCTGGGAGATTCATTGCACACAAGAAGACACCAGGACACAGTCACCAGGCTTGCCAAAATAAAAATGAAAGAAGCCCTCCTACAAGCTGTAAGGCAAAAGCAGCAGGTAACCTACAAAGGAAAACCCATCAGACTAACTACAGAATTCTCAACTGAGACCTAACAAGTCAGGAGGGACTGGGGCCCCATTTTCACTCTTCTCAAACAGAATAATGCCCAGTCTAGAATTTGGTACCCTATAAAACTAAGTTTCTTATATGAAGGAGAAATAAAGACCTTCTCAGACAAGCAAAGACTGAGGGAATTCATCAAGACAAGACTTGCCCTCTAGGAAGTACTCAGAACGGTGTTACACATAGATCAGCACAATAAACACTCACCAGTGTAACATCATCCAAAAGCTAAAGGTCAAAGGCCAGACACAACAATGGCTTAAGAGAGAAAACAAAGCAACAAAGTTCAACTCAACATGAACAGAAATCTGCCCCACTTATCAATTTTTTCAATAAATGTGAATGGCTTGAACTGCCCACTAAAGAGACATAGGCTGGCCAAATGGGTAAATTTACACAAGCCACGTATCTGCTGTCTTTCAGGAAACACATCTAACCCACAAGGATGCATTCAGAATCAAGGTGAAGGGATAGAAAACAATATTTCAAGCATACATAAACCAAAAGAAAACTGGCCTGGCAGTTTTCAGATAACTTAGTCTTTGAATCAACAAAAGTAATGAAAGACAAAGATGATCACTATATAATGGTGAAAGGTACAATTCAACAAGAAGATAACAATTCTAAATATTTATGCCCCTAACTTAGGTGCACCCAGATTCATAAAGCAAATCCTATTTGATCTAAACAATATGATAAACTGCAACAATGTAATATCCAGGGACTTCAACACTCTTCTGACAGAACTAGACAGATCCTCCAAATAGAAAAGAAACAAAGAAACAATGGGCTTACACAGAACTCTAGAAAAAATGGGCCTGATATTTACCAAACATTCTATCAAAAACCACTAAATATACATTTTTCCCATCAGCTCATGGAACATTCTCTAAGATTGACTGTATCCTAGGCCACAAGGCATGTCTCAACAAATTAAAAAAAGAGATTATACCATGCGTCTTCTCAGGCCACAGTGGAATAAAATTAGAAATCAACCCCAATAGAAACTCTCATCTCTACACAAAGTCGTGGAAACTAAACAACCTTCTGTTGAACAATTATTGGGTTAAGGAGGAAATTAAGATGGAAATCAAAAGATTCTTTGAACTAAATGATAAAGGAGATACAAGTTATCAAAATCTCTGAGACACAGCTAAAACAGTCCTGAGAGGAAAATTTATATCCATAAATGCCTACATCCAAAAGACAGAAAGATCACAAATGAACACTATAATGAATCATCTCAAAGAACTGGAAAAGGATGAGCAAACCAACCCCAGACCCAGCAGAAGAAAGAAATAACAAAGATCAGAGCAGAACTACATGAAATCAATAACAACAAAAAAACCATATGGAAGATTAATAAAACAAAGTTGTTTTTTTGAAAAAACGAACAAAATTGACACTCCTCTTGCTAGATTAATGAGAAGCAGAAAAGAAAGGACTCTCATATGCTCCATCAGGAATTAAAAAGGAGAAATTACAACTGATACCACGGAAATACAAAATATCATCTATGAACACTTTAAAAACCTCTATGCACATAAACTTCAAAACGTGTAGGAAATGGACAAATTCTTAGAAACAAGGAGGCCCCCTAGGCTCAACCAGGAAGAACTAGAATTCCTGAACAGACCAATATGTGAAAGTACCGAAATTGAAGCAGCAATAAAGAACCTTCCTAAAAAGAAGAGTCTCAGACCAGATGGTTTCACACCTGAATTTTACCAGATCTACAAAGAACGGGTGCCTATTCTGCAGAAATTATTTCACAACATCCCGAAGGAAGGAATCCTCCCCAACACATCTCATGAAGCCAACATCACCCTGATACCCAAACCAGGAAAGGATGCAACAAAAAAGAAAACTACAAACCAATATCTCTTATGAATATAGATTCAAAAATTCTCAAAAAAATCCTAGCAAACCGAATTCAGGTGCTTATCAAAATAAATAAATAATCTATCATGACCAAAAAATCAACTCAGGGTGGATAACAGACTTAAATCTAAGGCATGAAACTATAAGAATTCTAGAATAAAATGTTGGGAGTACTCTTATAGACATTGGCCTAGGCAAAGAAATTATGAAGAGACCCAAAGGCAATCATAGCAACAATAAAGATAAATGGGACCTGATCAAATTAAAAAACTTCTGCCCAGCCAAGATAACTATCAGGAGAGCAAACAGCCTACAGAATGGGAGAAAATATTCACATGCTGCACATCCAATAAAGGGCTGATAGCTAGAATCTATATAGAACTCAGGAAAATCAGCAAGAAAAAATATTAAACAACCCTATCAAAAAGTGGGCAAAGGAAATGAACAGAAAAATTTTAAAAGAAGATAGACTAATGGCCAACAAACACATGAAAAGATGCTTAACATCTCTAATCATCAGGGAAATGCAAATCAAAATCATAAGATATCACTTATCTCCAGAGAGAATGGCCTTTATCCCAAAATAATAAATGCTGGTGTGGATGCGGAGAGATAGGAACACTCATACACTGCTGGTGGGACTGCAAACTAGTTCAACCTCTGTGGGAAGTAATATGGAGATAACTTTAAAGAGCTAAAAGTAAATCTACCATTTGATCCAGCAATCCCACTACTGGGCATCTACGCCCCTAAAAAACAAAAGACATTCTATAAAAAAGACATCTGCACAGAATGTGTACAGCAGCACAATTCCCAGTTGCAAAGATGTGGAAACAACCCAAGTTCCCACCAATACACGAGATTAATAAAATATGGTATATGTATACCATGAAGTTCTACTCAGCCACAAAAAACAACGGTGATCTAGCACCTCTTGAATTATCATGGATAGAGCTGAAGCCCATTCTACTAAGTGAAGTACCACAAGAATAGCAAAAGAAGCACCACATGTACTCACCATCAAACTGATATTAACTGACCAACACTTAAATGCACATATAGTAATTAACTTTCATCAGATGTCGCACAGGTGGGAGGGGGAAGGGGATGGTGTATTCACACCTATTGGGGGCAATGCACATCATCTGGGGGATGGACATGCTTGAAGCTTTGACTCGGGTGGGGCAAAGGCAATATGTGTAACCTAAACGTTTGTACCCCTGTAATATGCTGAAATAATAATAAAAAAAAAAGTTGAGCTCTATTCTTCCATCTGTACAGAATATGTATTTCCTGAACCAAGCAAAGAGCTACTTCAATATCTGCCATTTCACTAGGTCAATAGGATTTCCCACAATAGATAAGCCTGATAAATATATGTCGAAACTGCCAGGAAACAGGTTAACAAATGAAGAACTTAAAAATAGAACTATTCCATTTATTACAAAACTTAATAACGTAATGATTTCTACATTTTTCCTTTTAAAAATAAACCAGATAATCAGACAAAAATCACATTTATTTCAATAGGTCAAAGTGCAAATACAGCCAGTCAGTTCACAGAGTTTTAAGATACAGCTTTAGGTAAATGCAAACTTGATATACAAAAATGAAAGGGTAAATAGCAGAAATAAAGCTCCTTAATTTTTTTAAAAATTCAAGTAACCTGAAAAACCTTAGAGTCAAATATTCCATCTTTGTTAGTTAAGAAATGCTCTGTGCTAAATGCAATCGCAAAGGACTTCCAAGGACAGAATCGCCCAGCCGGACGGCTCTGGCCACGGGGGAGGTTTTCGGCATGGCTGCTCCTGACCGGGCAGCTCAGCCTCCCACGCCATCCACTGACGTGGTTCAATCCATGAAAGTTTGATATTTAGGCAAATTCTTAAGAAGGTTTAAAGTTAAAGATGATGCCAACATCACTATTAATACTTTTCTGAAATGACCAGTATCATCTAAAGACCCAAAGACCAAAGTCAACTTCAGTATTACTGGGAAAAACCACAGAAACCATATTTTTCTGTGGAAAAGCCACTTGTTCCATCACTGAAAACGTTTCTGTCAGCTTAGCAACACAGCCTCTAAGACTTCCTCAGGAAAGAACTACTTAAAAATATACGGATTTATTTCTACATGTACAGAACTCATGTGTGTGAAGCAGAAAAGCTCCCCACTAGGAGGATGATCAACGGTTGCTAATGTCCTTCTGTCGCTCAGCAGCAAGACACACGGTTCCTGGTCCCCAGAGGCAGCGCGGCCGCCAGCTTCGCTTCAGGAAAACAAGCGTCTCCGGAAGGCATACGTGAGACGTTTATTCCGTCTTCTTCTCAAACTTCCTCATCTTTTCACTGTAGGCCTTAAACTGAGAATCCGTTCCAAAGAGCCTGTCCCACCAGGTGAAGGTGGACGCGTAGTTCCCCACGAAGTTCATGTGGTGGAAGTCGTGGTGCCGCGCGCCCGCGTAGCAGGGGATGAGGTGGAGGGGGTTCAGCGGGATGTCGTAGCCGCTGCAACAGAAACGACAAACGCTCCTGAAGTCAGTGCTTGTTAACTAATTAAAACAATACTCTGCCTAAATCACATTTCTGAGATGTTTATAAAAGGTAAAAGCTTACGTAAGGTAAGCTTACGTAAGGTAAAAGGGTGCGTGTTCTAGAAACTACTTTTAAGAATATTTAAAAAAAAATATCTTGAAAGATCTATGAAAATTATGTTATATACACGAGGGGATGGAAAAGAGTGGTTACAGTAACACATTTTTAAAACACAGATTTTTCAAGAATTATTTTTCTTTTAAGTTTTAAAGGAGGTTTGCAAGAGAGTCTGTAACAGCTGCAAAGCAAGCCCATAATACTAAGTGTGTCTTTTAGAGTAAGTTACGTGAAATTGGTATCAAGCGCTAAAAAAGTCAGACCCTGGCTGGGCATGGTGGCTCACACCTGTAACCCTAGCACTCTGGGAGGCTGAGGTGGGTGGATCACTCAAGGTCAGGAGTTTGAAACCAGCCTGAGCAAGAGCGAGACCCCGTCTCTACTAAAAAAATAGAAATTCTCTGGACAACTAAAAATATATATGTAAAAAATGAGCCGGGCATGGTGGCGCATGCCTGTAGCCCCAGCTACTCAGGAGGCTGAGGCAGGAGGCTCGCTGGAGCCCAGGAGTTTGAGGTTGCTGTGAGCTAGGCTGATGCCACGGCACTGTAGCCCGGGCAACAGAGCGAGACTCTGTCTCAAAAAAAAAAAGTCAGACCCAAGAACACTTGTATAACAACTTCTTTTATTTTTTAGGCAATGACCAGCTGAATTTAAATGTACCACAATTAATCAAAATATTAGTGTGCTTTTCAGTAGCTGGGAAAACATAAGCGATTTCAAGACAGAGTCCCATTTAGAGATCCTCCTTTACTTCCAACTACCTGTCTAAAACCAGATGTCCACAGCTACACAGTCTGGACCACCCAGCCCCTCCTGCTGCTCTTGGGGGACTGGGGGGAGGGAGGGAGGGAGAGAGGGAGGGAGGGAGGGAGGAGGGAGGGAGGGAGGAGGAGCAGTGGAAGCAAAGAATGAAAGGGGCGTCCCTTACAATCTTTCTGTCCGAGAACATTCTCCACCCCAGACCACAGTGTTCATTACCTTTGATACTTTACTAGTTTAGAAATAATTCTTAGAATTTGGGTCTAGTAACAAGTCCAAAGTCAAACTACAATGAGCATGTAATTTTTAAGTAGCAGGAATTAGAACACGCATTTGAAGATGTCCGTTATAAACAATGTACACAGAACAACCTCCAGTGAACACAAGGAGCGTCTGCAACTCGCACGTGTCACGGGCAGATTCCTACCCCGCCAGGGCTTCCTCACGCTACAGTCAGGACTGAAATCGTCTTACTCGGTGAATGTTTCAACATTTCTTCAGATACCAGTTAGGTTTAGGTTTATTTCAGGAAAAAAAAAAAGAAATTGCTGCCCCTAAATATTTATTTTATTTGTCCAAATAACACATCATCACTATGAAAATAACAGAATAGAGTAACTATTTTTTATCCAATTATGATGTACTTCTGTTTTCTTATAACGTTAAAAAGATTGACTTCTCCTATTAGTCTACTCAGAAATACAGCTAACCTCATGACCATCAAAATGAAGATATCTTATGCAACCTCACACCTGAACAGAAACCATCACTCACCTGTGGACATCAATAGTTTCCATCAAACGAATGGTCACCCATGCCCAGAGAAGAATTACGTGATCACACAGAAGCACGATTCCAATGAAAAATCCAGCTCCAAGGATCAGAGTTTCCAAAGGATGTGCGTACTCAGCTTCCATCCCAAATGGAGCCTAGAGCAATGGATAGAAATCCCTTAGCATGTTGTGACGGTTCATTTCACGTGTTGGCGTGGTAGGGCTATGGTACCCAACCAGCTCTGAGCAGACCACACTTCACAAGGAGGGTGGGCCTCAACTAACCAGTTAAAGGCCTTACGGGTAAAGACCAAGGTTTCTTAAGAAGGAATTCTCAAGACGGAAACAACAGCTCTTACCTGAATTTCCAGCCTGCAGATGGCCCTACAGATTTCAGACTTGACAGCCCCAACAAATGCACTAGCCAACTGCTCAAAATAAATCTCTCTCTGACTATTATTAATCTACACTCTATTGGCTCTGCTTCTCTCTGGAGAACCGGAATAATACATCTATTTATGCACCTATTTCACAAAATCATATTGTTTCTATACGTAACAATAATATATCTAGCTATGTACACATATAAATAGTAGTAGCAATTCTCAATAAAAGTATCTTTTTGTTCCTACTAAACATCAAAAGGTCTAAGGATATAAAATCTTATTAACTGTCTTTGATAGTTTAAGATAAAAGCATTTAATAATTGTCTTGAACTCTAATTTTTATTTAGACATTTACTTTGTTTTGCCAAGAAAGGGACGCTTGGTTCAGCACACCCGGCAGTAACGATCAATGCGGAACCCGCAACGCAGCCCACTGACAAAGCCACATCAAAGCAGGTGTCATAAAAACCAGTCTGTGTGGGAGTCAGCAATGTGATAAAAATGTGTTAAACTAAGTTAAAAGTTGTTGTATAAGTTTAGATATTAAAGGTTTATCATTTGGGGATCTCACCAAAATGACCTCAACATTACTCTGGCCACTGTCAAAGTGCCCAGTATCTGGCTGAGCCCGTGGCAGAGCATTCTGGCCACAAGGATGAGAGTCTCGACTACTGCACGTCCATGTCGCGTTTTTCTTTTGGGTCTCGACTTGTCATGAATTTAGATACTATAGGAAATTTGCAGAGCTGGTGTGCGTGTGCGTGATGTTCTTACTCATGCAAAAGGAAAAAGAAATGAACATCACTGATAATTTTTTTAAAATGCTCAGGCCATAAAAAGAGACATTTTGCCTCTAATAGAAACAAATAATTAAATATATTTCTAACATACCTGAAACTCGTGGTGAATCTTGTGGATGTACTTATATATTCTCTTGTGGTGCAGGAGTCTGTGCAGGAAATAGTGCCAGGTGTCCTCAATGACTGCACAGCCAAAGCATCTCACCAAAAGCATGTACCTTTAAGATAAAAATACTACGATGTGTATGAAATGACTTTTATTTAAAACAATATAGACTTTACTTGGGATCACTGCTGGAGACATTACATAAAACCAAAAGCCAGCTTGACCTAATTGAACATACTGATCAATAAAGTCTCAAAACTACGAGATACAGCTACATGATATAACCTGAAATAAGGGTGAAGAGACCAACTGCTATACCAATTCTATTTCATTTTGACAAAAATCCACATGTATAAAATCAGAAATAAGAAACACAATCCAACACTTCTAGGAAAAGAATATTGATGAAAGACTTAAACTAACATTAGCAATAACAAAATGATCATTTTTTCCACAAGAAGATACAATTTAAGTGCAATGGGCAAAAAAAAAAAAAAAACAAACAAACACACTACACAGAAGCTCTTTTATTTTTTTTGAGACAGTCTCAGTCTGTCAACCCTGGCTAAAGTGCAGTGGCGTCAGCCTAGCTCACAGCAACCCCAAACTCCTGGGCTCAAGCAATCCTCCTGCCTCAGCCTCCTGAGTAGCTGGACCTACAGGCAGGCACCACGATACCTGGCTAATCTTTCTATTTTTAGTAGAGGCAGGGTCTCGCTCTTGCTCAGGCTGGTCTCGAACTCCTGAGCTCCAGCGATCCTCCTGCCTCAGCCTCCCAGAGAGCTAGGATTATAGGCATGAGCCACTGTTCCCAGCCTCTTTTATATGTTGAATACACACGGACTGCATCTATATATTGGAATATCTATATTCAGGCATATCAGGCACAGGAAGTAGAACCCAAATATTATTTGAATGCAAATATTTGCACTCCGGTTAAATATATCTAATAAAATAAAATTTTTGTCCATATAAACAAATATATATATATAGTCGTGTGCCACATGAATGACATCTTAGCCAACGACAAACCGCATATACGACAGTGGTCTCAAGACTATAATACTGTATTTTTACTGTAGCTTTTCTATACTTATATACACAAATAATTACCATTGTGTTACAAGTGCCTACAGTACAGTATTCAGTTCAGTAACACACTGCACGGGTCCGTAGACTAGACAACCCAGGTTTGTGCGAGCACACCCTGTGACGTCTGCACAACGGCAAAGTCACTGAACAACGCATTTCTCAAGAGGCGTCCCTTCTGAGTCACGAGCTAAATGACACACGCCTCCGTGCGCGCGCATATTCACATGCATACTGGTATTTATACGCACATGGTTTTTATAAACCCCCGAACCATTTCATATTTTTCATTCCTTTTAGACTTCAAATGTAACATTTTTTTCCTAGCAAGGATGTTATGGAAACTTACGATGCTAGAAACTCACCTTCCAATAAAATATTACATTAAAATAAAGAAAGATATGAAAATGTGAACATTTTAAGTTTCTATTATGGTTTACTTTTCTACTATTTATTTACTCCCAAAGTTGAAAACATTAACCAAATAACAAAAAAGTTAAACATTAAGCATAACCTAATTGGATAATATTCATGACTGAATAAAAAATCAACACTTTATCTACATACCATCTTGGCATCCTTTCCCAATCATAAGGAATATTGAAATACTCTGTAAAATAATAGGTTCCACAAATCAATGGCAGCTGAATACAGAAGTGATTAAAGAGAAGTACTTTAAAACATTTCCACTGGCCTTCCAGCGTTTCTGGTTTATCCTATGGAGAAAAAACACAGCAGTTAGTATTAGCCTCTGCGATTGTATTTTAGCTTGACAACTCTGAGCAGATTCCTAGTTTTTCCTCTAATGTTTATACGGGCCTTAATTCAACTGTTAATTTTATGTTGTAGTAACTACAGCTCAGAAATCCTCGCCTTCTAATTTCTTGACAACCACTGTCCCTACTTTAACCAGGTGAGAAAACTGTTAACAGACACACCCAGCCCTGACACTCTTAAACAAACCAGAGAGACGCAACAGAACGAAGACTCTGGTCTTTGCTGCCTTCCATCATGCACCTCTTGTACCAGAGGTACAGAGAGGAAACGTGTTATGCTAGGGTCCCAGCTGGGTGTACCTAGGTATTGAAGAAGTATGGGTAGCATCAGAAGTATTTACTACGCAGGTGAATTGGTGCTTCCAGGTACTCGGCGAGATTCATTCCAAGAAATGTGTGGTTTTGTTCATATACAATGACAGAATTATAAAGTCCCTGAGCTGAGAACTACAGAGACGTGCCCTGATGATGAAGTTCACAGATTCAAGTCAAAATGAGAAAAATGGGGTCAATATACTGAGATGTTCATAAATTCTCATCAGGATACCAATTTGCTTAGTAAGCCATTATCAAATCAAAAACTTAATTTATTCAAGTGACAGAGCTTCGCTCAGACAAGAAAAAGTGCTTTGGGTTTTACAAAATGATGGTGATACTACTAGTTATTGTTTTAAATGTCATAACTTAAAAATTCAGAAATTTGCCAACAAAACTCTTTTAACTGAACCACAGTATTCAAAGTACGAGAAGTGCTCATCGGCAGATGCTCAAAGAGGTCAACCGCTCGGCCCAGGATCACACGGGCAGTTATCAGCGAACTTGGACTAACTGAAACCTCCGTCTCTAGATCCAGTTCTGTTCTCAAAATTCTTCAGGAGTTACCTTCTTGACAAAAACAGGAGCAGCACTGACTGAGAACCGACCCAGGGACCTGGCTCTAACACCAGGGCAGCCGGTACCTGTTAACTCACTCTGTGATCTTACAGGCCAGTGTCCTCCACAATAAAACAAGGGGATTGGCAAGATAATTTAACAACTGTCTTGGCAGTTCTACTCCGAGCATTCTCTCACTCCACCCCTTCAACCCTCCAGTCAAATAAACGGAAGACCCAGGCTTGGGTTGGCAAAGGTACTGTTTCCCATAGAAACTATGTTTCATAGACTTTTAATTTCCCTGCTAGCCTGTGACACCTATGCAGCTGCAGGAACCACAACGTTCAATCAACTGTTTGAACGGTGGACATGGGCCCCATGTCCGTGGAACCCGCGGACATGGGGCCCGTGGACTCAGAGGGCGACTGCATGTGCCGAGTGAACGCAAACTACTTTCCACGGACAAACACGCTCCAAGTGTCTCCTTTCGACGGGGACTCTGAGTCCCTGGGTTTTAGTAAGACATAACTTTTTGGAAAAGTGAACAGTAAGCACTAGAAACTATCATGGGTTTGCCAAGCACTGAGAAATCACGTGTCTCTGATAAGCCAGTCCAGATCCCTCCCTAGAACTGCGTGGAGCTGGCCGCCCACACGGCAGCGGCAGCAGCGGCCCCCTTGTCACGCACATGGCGCGCTCCTGAGAGACACGGAGCAGTGAAGCAGATGCACAGAAGCTGGGAGCAGCAGCATCCCTTATGTGGGAGGGTACGAATGCTGCACGACAGCCTACCACATACCGTGTTTCCCCGAAAATAAGCCCTAGCAGGGTTTGTAAGCATTTGCGCAATAGAAGCTCCACCCCGAAAATAAGCCCTAGTGACGAGCGTGGCCACCCAGAGTATCTGCACAACCCATGCATTTCGTCGAGGGGCGGGAAAGAAGAGGAGCAGCCCTTCTCACCTGCCCCATGAGAGCTCTATGGCTCGACAGGGGAGATCGGGGCCACGGGTTCTAAAGGAAATACAGTTGCAAGACATTCAGGACAGAACATGAACACATTAAACGTGGTTAGTCCAAATTGAGATGAGCTAAAAAGTAATATAAAATACACACTGGATTGTGAAGACTTAGTATAAGAATACAAATTATCCCATTAAGCATTTTTTATTTTGAATACTTATTGCAATAATAGTTTACATTTATTGAGTTAGATAAAATTATGAAAATTAATTTTCCTATTTCTTGTTACCTTTTCTACATATTCTACTGGAAAATTAAAAATTATATATGTGGCGTCATATTTCTCTTGGGCATCACTGATTTAGAGTCTCTTAAAACAAAGCTATATTTACTTTCAAAATCTTCAACAACTCTAATGATAATATTGCATTTCTAGTCCCTCATACTCACCTTTTGAATTTTATACTTTCTCATGTAAGGTATAAATTGAAATAAAAATCCAGGTAAACAGAACAAGAAATAAACGACTTCATGAACTATAAGAGATCCCCATGTTGCAAACTGGAACTTGGTGTAATTATCCAACAGATAGTTCCAAGCATTTTTAAATGGTTCTTGCAGAGGATTCTCAGGTAAAAGTGAATCTACATACTCCACGGCCAAGAACGCTGAACTAAAGATGCTGACACTTTCATTTGTTGCCATTTTCCAAGTCTCTGCAGACAGCCTTTATAATTCTGTAAAATAAATAAATATATAAGCTTAAAAATGAGCTTCAAAAAACAATACAGTTTTAAAGATGCATCTTCTGATCATTTTAAAAATGATAATCACTAAAGGACTGCCAATTTCTCAGGTTCCACATGATTAAAAAAGAAATCTACTGGATAGCATCACCATCTCCATTTGCAGATAACCCTTTAAAAACCACGTTATTTTTAAGAGCAGTATCTAAAAGAGCAGTATAAAATAAATTTTGAGCTATCTCTAAAGAGATTTCCAGTGTGGCCTCCATGGAAAAACTTATATTAATAATTTAAATGAACTATGAATAATTTAAATGAATTTGGGGTTTAAAAGTTTCACTTATAACCAAAAGAACCTATAAAGAAAAAGCCTGCCAAATATGACTGCATAAAACTAAATACTTCTAACCAGGGAATAAAAAGACAACCATAAACAAAGTCAAACATAAAATGACAAACTGGGAAAAATATTTCCAACATCTTATAACAAAGGGCTAAAAAGTGTGCTTTAGAAAAAGACAAAATCCAAGAGAAAAGTGACAAAGGCCATTCATTCGCAAGCAATTCACAGAAAAATAAAGGCAAATGGTCCCTAAACAAGTAAGAATCTTAACTTCACCCAAATGAGGAAATGTGCCCTAAACCAGATACTTCTTGCCTGAGTGGCAAATCGCTAAAAATTTAATAGGTGTCCAGTGCTACCGGTGTGAGGAAACAGGCATGATCATGCATTGTTGGTGGGGGGATAAATGATCAGTAGTTTATCATTTGAGAAAAAATTAGCAACATCTATCACAATTCAAAATGAATACATCCTTTGACCCAGCACTTCTCCCATTCAAGGGACAGACATGCTAAGACAGAAGGAAGCGTTGCTTATAACAAAAACAAAGAGAAAAGAATAAAAACAAAACAAGTAAGTCCATCAATGAGATGAGTTAAATTAATTCTGTTAAGTCCTTCCATAAACTACACAGCCAGTTACAAGAATGAGGAGGATCTGTATGTTCTACTTAGAAAGATGTCTAAGACACAGTGTTATTCCAAATAACAAGTCACAGAATAGTAAGTATAACAAGAGCCTCACTTACGCTTTTGTAAAAAGGGCATATATTTTATCTATGCACTTATATGCACATGTACATACAGAGACACACAAACAGATCAGAGAACAATTTAGGGGGGGGGAGTGTAACAGAAGAGAGGAGGAAATCTTACTTCCTACATTATACCTCCTGTACAACGTAAAATTTTTTAATGAGCATGTTCTACTTATATAATAAATAAGCCTAATAGGTCATTAATCAAAAAACAAAAAAACAAAAACAGGGAAACTTACTGAGAATGTCACTTTCCTAAAAATGTTCACTGCTGTTTCTAATTTATGAATTATGATGGACCACTGTAAAAACAGACCTTTTAAAGCCTCAGAAGAGTTCTTAATGGTGCTTAGAATGCTCCCCACTTCCTGCGTTGACCTTTTATCCCATTCTAGACAGGAGATGCTGAGAAGCTCAGCCAACTTCTTCAAGCCTCTGAATTCACTGCTCGTCCTCATTGCTCTGCCCTGCTCATTCTCAGTGGCTCACACCACAGCGACCACACAGGGCTCCATCCCGTGCCAGTCCAACCTCAGAATGTCTCTGTGCTCACCCGCCCTCGCCTCTTAGAGTGACTAACTGGCCTTCCTGTGCCCTCATCTTACCTCACCAAGAACTGCCCGTCACATACCCTTTTTCTCACCTTCCCTCATCCCTCTCCACCGTCCATCCCCTTGAGTCTAAAGCCTTCCTTTCTCACGGACCACTTTCCTAACCTTTATGGTCTCTCCCGAGCAAGCCACCATCTCCTTTCTCTCTGTGAACCAACCAGCCTCTTTCTCAAAGAAGACCTCCGCATCAAGGCTGCTTAGCTTGCACTCACGCCACTCACTGGACCATCTGCAACCTAGCTCCCCACCCACACCAGGACGAAGTCGCTGATCTTCCAGGTTGCAAAATAAGACAACCATCCCAATCCTCGTGTTTCTTGAGGTGATCACCAAGTCTGACAATGTTGAACCAACACCACTTATTAGCCATGTGGCCCTGAACAAATTACATAACCTCTCTGGGACCCAGTTCTATGACGTGCAAAAGTAAACAGCAACAACAGTCCCTGCCAGGAGTCCAAGAGATGATGCAGTTGGGTAACATGCTCAGCACAGGACCCTGCATGTAGCAGCTACAAGAACGTGACAGTTATCGGGCACTTTCCACCTGGCAGGAACTGCGTGTTTTAAGCATGCTACACGTACTCTACATACCACACCTTCATAAGGTAGCTACTTTTATTATCCCCATCTTATAAATAAAAAACTGAGGTTTGGAAAGATGAAGTAGCTTTCCCAAAGCCACACAAATGCTAAGTGGGGGGTGCTCATCCATCATACTATACCATAACCAAAAGCAAACAACACTCAATAAATACCACAAGGAGAATAATTCTTACGGTTTACCCTCACCTCCTGAAGAGTATTCTACATGAGCTACCTTCATTTTTTCTTTCCCATTTGTTCTGTAGCAACTGCAATCTTCTTTCTACTCTATTCACTGCTCTGAACTTACTCTTACTAAAAGCACTGAGGATCTCCTACCTGCTAAATCCAACAGGCACTCTCTGGAGTTATTTTACTTGGCCAGTCTGGAAGATCTGATACTTCTCTCCTTGAGTTACTCTTTTTCCTTGGTTCTTGGGATGCACGTGTATTCACTGACAAATACTTAACCTGTGCTTAGGATGTGCCGTCCTTAGGCTAGTGGCTGCCTTCATCCTTGACTCTACAAAAAAGTCTAGTGAGGACACCAAGAAGTGCGCAAAGCATCATAAAATTACATGGTAAGAACAATAACGGGGGAAGACACTGTGCACACTGAGCCCTGGAACAGGAGGGGAGGTGACCAGATTAAAACACAGTGGACAGGGGACGTGGGGAGGGAGGTGTTCTGAGCAGAGGAACCACAGCCCACAGACTCAACCAGAAGAGGAGCAAGGACGTGGCACTTTCTGACTCAGTGTGTCTGGTTCAGCTTTCGGGAAAGGACCACTCGAGGACCGAGGCTGGGAAGTTCCCGGTGATGCCTGCCTCCGTCCCTTCTTACTACTCCAGATTGCCCTGGGTGGTCTCAACTATCTTCTGCTTCTGAAACACGCTGACATGCACCACCTCTCTCCCTGACCCTCGCCCTGCACTCCAGGGTCTGACCGTGCAAGACCCCACCTGCCACCCCACCTGCCACCCCCACCTGCCACCCCCACCTGCCACCCCACCTTCCACCCCACCTTCCCCCCACTTGCCACCCCACCTGCACCCCCACCTGCCACCCCACTTGCCACCCCACCTGCCACCCCCACCTGCCGCCCCACCTGAAGCACAGAGGCACTCCGCACCGTGCACAGGCTTGCGACTGCGCCTACACCTCTGCCCGACGCCCTCCCTGCCGTACTGCCCAGCGGGGCGAGCTGCACCCCCCCCCCCGCGCCCCACACGGAATGTTCTAGGCCTCTGCTGCCCGAGCGCGCCGCAAGCTCCGCCCGGCCTGCAGACTCCGGCGGCGTGCTCGGGGTGCTCGGCAGGAACGAGGGCGCGACGGGCACACTCCCGCCAACCCGGCGGCCGCCACGGAGGGAACCGAGGCGGCGGGGCCGGGTCTCCAGGAGGGAGCTTCCTCCTCCTCCTCGCACCCCGGCGCCCGCTCGGGGCGGACCCGCGGGGCGCGGCGCGGAAGTGCGGCTGCGGGAGACCGCAACGCCGAGAACCGCGAGCCGGCCGGGCAGGAGGGTGCGCGCCCCGCGCTCCGCCCGCGTCCAGCGCGGGGTCCGGGCCTGGGCTGCGCCGCGCCCGCGCCCTGCCCGCCCGCAACGCCGCCCGCGGACGAGCGCAGAGACGGCCGCAGCCGCCCGCCGGGGCCTGCCCTCCCGGGGGAAGCCGCGCGAGCCCGCCAGACCCTCGCCCTCTCCGGCGCCGCCCGCAGCGGCTCGCACCCCGCAGGAGCCGGCCGCCGCCGCGCCCGCCCGGCCCGCCCGACGCGGCGGCCCCGCAAAGCGAACGCAGTCCCCGCACCGGAGACCTCGCCCGCACCGCGGCCCCGCCGCCCGGCCCGCGCACACACCAGTCCGGCCCCGAGGCGACTGCGGCCGCGGAGACCCAGCCCCGCCAGGTGCCTCGGAACCTGCCTCGCCCGGCTCGGAGTGGGGCCGGGGGGCGTGGCCGGCGCCTCCTGCCGCTATTGGCCTGAGAGGGCTCCGGCCCCGCCTTCCCGGCGCAGCGATTGGTCTGTGCGTCTGCCGGCCTCGCGTGACTAGCGGGAGCGGATCCCAGGCGGCCGCAGCCATTGGCTGCGCGGATGGAGTGAGGATAGTGAGACCCGCGCGTCCGGCCAGTGGCGGGCGCCGAAGCGCGCCGGGGGGCGGGGACGCGTGAGAGCGCGCGACGGCGCGAGGGGCGGCCCGGCCGGACGCCCCGCCCCGCCGCGAGGGGTCGCCTTGGCAACGCGGTTCTGGGCTGTCCGAAGGTCGGCGCCGGGTCGGGGTTTCGCCACAGCCGAGTCCCGCGGTCCGGGAGGAAAGGGCGCGCGCGCGGCGGCTGCTGTGCGTTTGCGGGCCCCGCCGCCCCCGGGCTGCCTTTTGGCCCCAGACCTCCTTCCGCCCGGTCCCCGGCCCCGTAGCCAGGCCCGTCTGTGGGAGACGGGGATTGCGGGTGCGCGCCGCTGCAGATGGGAGACGCGAGCGCGGGGAAATGTAGGCGGGGCGCGACCGCGGGGAGACGGCCGCCGCGGGCGTCGGGGCCTCGACCTCACCGCGGGGCCCCCAGGTGCGGGGCCCCCAGGTGCGGGGTCCCCAGGTGCGGGGTCCCCAGGTGCGGAGACTCCAGGTGCGGGGATCCCCAGGTGTGGCGACCCCGGGTGCGGCGCCCGCGGGTGCGAGGACCGCAGGTGCGGGGATCCCCAGGTGAGGAGATCCCCAGGTGCGGTGCCCGCTGGTGCGAGGACCGCAGGTGCAAGGATCCCCAGGTGTGGCGACCCCAGGTGCGATGCCCGTGGGTGCGAGGACCACAGGTGCGGCGACCCCAGGTGTGGCGACCCCAGGTGCGGGGACAGCAGGGGTGGCGACCCTTGCGCAGAACTAAGTGCCGGGCTGGCCACCCACTCACCTGTGTTGCAGCATGAGCCATTTCATGCCCTCTGAGCATAAACACACGGAAACCCAGTGTGCTGGGTATGACGGTAAAACCGCAGATGATGTGGCAACGCGCCAACAAACCTTCACTTAAGGAAAGAGCCTTTTTAATACCACACAAGGACACTATTTGTGCTACTGCAGGCTTTTTTCTTTTTTTCAGCTTTACTAAGATATAACTGACAAAAACTGTCTATTTACGGTGCACACCTGTTTTGATTTATGCCTGTGTGAGTGTGTTGTGTGAAAGCCTTTTTATACGGTTTCTGAAAGCGACGCTGTAGTTTCTCTCCTCCAGGCTTTGCTCAAACTGGATCTTCTGCCTGGAAGAGTCAGCCTCCCCACCTTCCCATCAACACAGGTGCCTCCTCCTCCCTCCCCCCATCAATCCAGGTGCCACCTCCTCCCCCCATCAATCCAGGTGCCACCTCCTCCCCCCATCAATCCAGGTGCCACCTCCTCCCCCCATCAATCCAGGTGCCACCTCCTCCCCCCATCAATGCAGGTGCCACCTCCTCCCCCCATCAATGCAGGTGCCACCTCCTCCCCCCATCAATCCAGGTCCCACTTCATCCCCCCCATCAATACAGGTGCCTCCTCCTCCCCAGTTCCTTACAGGCCACTGACCCGTACAGGTCCACAGCCCCACAGTTGGGGGACTGCAGCCCTGTAGGGTCAGACTTGTCATTTCTTAGCAGTGTGTTCTGAGATAAATTATTTAACTTCTGTAAGTCCTATTCACGCTTCTGTAAAATGGGCATTATGATAATACCTACACAAGAAGTGCTCAGTAAATATCAGTTACTACTTCTGATTTAGAGTTCTTTTATACCAAAGTCGATCTGTCTTCTCACTCGGCGCCAGGTGTTATGTGTGTGCAGGGGTCGAAGCATCACCTTAAACCTTGGAGATTCAGAGCCGGAAGGAAATGCGTATCTGGCAGCTCTACTCCTCTACCATGAAGAAACGGCACGGGGGCTCAGAGAACAGCTGCAATGTATCGAGGGGCCTCCGTATCTCAGGCACATTAGCACACATCGTTTCTTTCAAAACCTTGTGACACAGACACGGCTGTTGCCATTTTAAAGACAAGTGTCACAGTTTAAGTGTTGAAAGTCACAGCTAGCAACTGACAGAGGGGATGCAAACCCAGACCCACCCGGTGTGCATGCCCGTGCGCTTCCCAGGATTACCACTCCGGAATCCTGACTGGGAGCATGCTTCCCTTCCCCCAGGCAGCCTCCCCTTCCTGAAGTGAGGTACCGGCAGTGTCAGAGTCAGGAGGAGGAAGCTGGCTTAGGGCCAAACAAGGAAGGCGGCAGCCTTAGCACATTGCCGTGGAACATTACGCTACCCTTTTAAACCTGATAGATTGTTTCATAACTCATCAGCAGCGAAGCGCAGAAATACCTGAGTCCTCATGCTACAAGGAATACCAAGGAGATAATAAATGCTAGGAGTCATATGACAGAGGCCGTAAGACACAGGAAGAGATTTAATATTCCCTGACATCCACACCGCCCACCAGAACCCCAGCAGTGACGACTTTCCACCAGGTGTGCAGGTGTGGATGCCCCAAAGCAGCTCCACGGCGCAGGTTCACGGACCCAGCCTGCAACTCCGCTCACACCTGGGGCTGCTTCCTTGGCAGGATTTCTCAATCACCTCTCTTCCTTAACTTCTGACCTCTTTTTCATACAGTGTTAGAACAAGCTGGAAAAGCTTCTATATGCCTTTGAAAAACAAAGCCTTCTCAAACTGGAGAGACAAAGGTTGGCATGAGGAAGGAAAGCTCTGAAATCAGAGCTGAGAATCCAGACACTGGGAACCCCAGCAGACCACTCTGTGGCACGAAAGACAGAAAGACAAAGAGGTGTTTGACATGCCAAGTAGTTAGGACTTTGTTACCATAATAGACTGAGATTATATTTTAAGAAAAGCTTTAAAAATTGTTAGATAAATCTTTAACTGATGGATTCACAGAGAGTTTCACGGAACATTAGTGTTTGGAAGGGATGAGTAAAGATAACGACCTCACATTTTTCTTGGAGCTTCCGTGAGAAACAGCTGACAGTGCTCCGAGTTCATCAGCCCCTCCACACATCTGTTGACAAAGGATGTGCTTGGAGGCCACATTATTGCACAAATTCGTGTTTTCATCAAGTGGGCATAGGTTTTTTCCAATTAAATTCTTTGTACTTTCATTTATAATGGAAAGTTCAACTAAGTGTTAAACACGCTTCTATGTTTAAATTTGAACACTCGATATTAACTAAATAGAAAAGTTATCGCAGGCATCTTCCCTCTTGATTATCAACTGTTGTGGCAACAGCTCATGCTGACCTTTCAAATTCCAGAGGAATGGCCGCACACCTGTCTCCTCCTCGCTCCTCTCCCTTCTTCCTGTGTCCAGCACCTCGGCCGCCAACCCCTCTCCTCCACCCCCATTTCCTCAATTCCTTTTATTTAATATCAAAACCACAATTTATTCCTCAGTTGCTTTAGAGTTGCTTTGACTTTCTTTTTGGTCCAGTGCTACTTGTTTTTATCTTCATCTCATGTCCTGCTCATATTAGGGACATAAAAATATAAAACGTTTAATTTCACCAATCCTTGAGGAACTTCTCCTTGATGGTTAAGGTTACTTTTTCTTGGAAAATAATGTTCAGTGACTTACGTTATTGATTTAATAGTCTTGTCTTACAGGTTACTCTGATAACAAATTAAAAACATAGATTTATAAAGTTACAAAATGCAAATTTTACAAAACTAACAGGCAACATTTTTAACCTCGAACTCAATAGAGAAAAATCAAGTACACTGTGAAACAAATAATATACAAACTTTTATTCAAAGGTAATTCAAGAAAGACATGTTTTGGTCATTTTTAAAGTGAGATTAATTGAAGATCTCAGAAAAACCATCTGATCAACACACATGGCTACTCACAGGAAGATCTCTCTTCTGTTAATAGCAGCTAAGTTTGTACACACAGAAAAAATTCTTAAGACCATGCAAATTTCAGTTTAATTCCATACATTCATTATATTCATCAAAAACCTGCATTAATGTTCATGCCAAAGTGTTACTTTAAGAAAAAAATTAAAAACACACACCAAAACATGACCAAGATTGAACTAAAGAAAATAATAAATAAGCTTAATTTATATTTTATTTAAAAAAGTTTGGCATCACACATATTCAAGTGTGTTACACCATGTTCATTCCTCAGAAGTGGCATTTTAAAGTATTAAGCATTGTTAAATATCAAAAAATACAACTCTGTTTTACAATGTAGTACTGGCATAATTCAAAGTACTGTGCCAATTATAAATAGTATAATCAAGTTTCAAACATCTTTTCAAACATATTTAAAGGAAAGCATATAGACACACTTTTATATGCACACAATTTATTATATCCATGTAATCAAAGATATTTTATAAAAGCAAACTGTTTTATCCCTCAGCTAGTTTGTATACTTACATATGTAGATTTTAATACCTGTTCAAAGATTTTCAGTTCCTGGGTATATTTTCAGGAAAAGAAATACAGATAAAACTTAATTTTACAAGAACACACATTACTTTATCCTCCTTCACCAAGCAACCCATAGTCCTTCCAGGTTGGTGAGAACTAGTCTTCATGGAAGCAACTGTCGACTAAAGACTCCAGAGTCAGTCCGACAGTCCAGTGTCTTATGAAAATTCAGTCAGCTGCTGCTCGTTGCAGAAAAAGCCTACACGGTGCTTCTACCGAGAATAATCTTCAGTGTCCGAGGCCTAGAGAGGCAGACGCTCGAATCTTCTGCCGAGACGCAAAGTGCAGCTGCAAGTGAGAAGTGCTAGATTCGCAGTCACTTCGGAAATGCTTGTTGGAGCCTGGCTCGTGTACAAAGGTGCCGGAAGTGTCCTCGCGAGGCTCATAGTGGCTTATCAATAACTGTGACGCCTGGGCAAAGACAGGAAGGAATAGAACAGATGTCACAGGCAGCATTCTGAACCTCTCGGAAAACACCGAAT